GCTGAGAAACATAGAGCCATTGAATATATTTGGGCATCTTAATGCCTTACGGGAACCACTGAACTCTTTCATTTAAAAAAAATATACGGTCTTGGCTGACCCATAGTAGGAGTGCAACATTTAGATTCAGAAATCACATTGTGATGTGTTTATATTGTGGGCAATGTAGTGGCCGCTAGTGGCTGGCGAAGGGGTGGAGTGCATCACACAAACCCATTCCCACGTAGGCATCGGAAACACATTGATTCTCACACGTGAAATTCGACGCAAGTGTTGCGAGCTTCAGCATCAATATTAATCCATGTATCGTTCGACCCAACAGCATCAATACAAATCGATGTATCCTCAGACCCAGAGCAAACACCGAGCAGTAGTAAGAACTAACCATCACCATCATCTTTACGTGCGGGGCACCACAGAAACGAGTCCTCTGCTAAAATCTCGACGGACATGGCAGGCAGGAGATATTCTTCATAATCAACGTTTTTGGGTTTAGATCGCGTTATTTATAAATGTGTCGTAACCCTCCACCACCCGACACGGCCAATCAGTAAAAAAGTATCACGTTGACAAAAGACAAATAGTTCACTGCTTTAGGCCACCGGTGTGTTGAAGCGTGAAACCACAACATTTACAATTTTTGAGTACGACGTTTCGCTGATAATATTCTGCTTAATTTGAAGAGTAAAGTGTATGTTTTATTATACTTGCTGTATTATTACATATTAACGCATACTTTCCGCTGTTAAAATAACATCTACAGTACGTAATTAATTTAATGTACTATGAACTATAAAAGAACTCGACCTTTATCCAGAATCGAATTTATGGGATAGAGTTGGCCACCGTGAAAGTTTGCATCTCAAAACCGGTAAAACTCGTTCAGGGAAATGACGTGACGGCCAAATTTACTCCTTGACCAACAATATCCAACTTAGGATCGGGACAAGGGTTTGTGGATGTTCTTTTTATTAATAAGTTACACTTATGATGCAGTGAATGAAAAGAAGCTAAATTTCGATTTAAAGCTTTCGTGACTGCAGGGATTCATCTTCTTGGTTCTTTCGGTAAAGTCACGTAGAAGGGAAGTAATAAAATAATAAAAATAAAACATAATAAAATAATTCTCACGACGTTTCGGCCACAACGACTGCTTGCGTTGTGGCCGAAACGTCGTGAGAATTATTGCATTATGTTTTATTTTTATTATTTTATTACTTCCCTTCTACGTGACTTTACCGAAAGAACCAAGATGAAAATAAGCTATTTAACAAAAAATAAGTTCGAGACATCGTATTGATTCTTAAGACATTTGAGTCGCCTTGGGGAGGATACGTCACAAGAAGGGATGACGGAGGGCGCGTGGCTCGCAACTCATGACGGGGAGGGGCAGCTCAAGCCGGGACCCGCCTAGAAGTACGCCCCCCGTAGAGATGGAGCGATGGAATCAGCCGACGTGCAAACAATACGTGGATCAGTTTAACACGGAGGCTTTCGTGACCGGTATTATTCATAATAAAGGTTTTTGGGTTGGATCGCGTAAGTATGTGTCGCAACCCTCCACCACCGACACGGCCAATCAGTAAAAAAAATGTGTCACGTTAACAAAACGCCAATTAGTTACTTACCCCCCCCCCACCTCCGATCTCGAAACCTGATGGGGTTCAATGATGACGTCGTCCTGGACTATTTAAGACTGGAAGCAGGTGGATGGCTTCACTATTCTGGCAAATCGCCCGAAGATGCTGGATGTAATTACCAGCGAAACGTCGTACTACTCAAATTCGAAATGTTGTGGATTCACTCTTCAAACACACCGGTGGGCTGAAGAAGAAGTAACTAATTGGCGTTTGTTAACGTGACACATTTTTTTACTGATTGGCCGTGTCGGGTGGTGGAGGGTTGCGACACATTTATACTTACGCGATCCAACCCAAAAACCCTTATCGTAGATACGTGGATCGTTGAGACGGCAATCGTTTGGGGGTCGACCTTCATCCAGCAGTGGATAGATGAATGTTGATTATGATAATGATCGACTAATTTCGTCCACTAATAAGGCCTGATTCATCGGTGATGGATATACATCAGCAAGGTTTCACAACAAATTGGACCACATTTCAACTTCGACAACAACACGCGACCAGGGCCTGCTCCTGATTGTAACCCTGTGTTTGTGTGAAGACTAAACGGACTCGGTGGGGGGGGGGGGGGGGGTTGGCTACGTACGGTGCGAAAGAAGTTCAACATACATACAATGACATCCAGAGAACACAGCGGCTCGCAAAATAAATAATACAACCCGGACATTCTTGGGCAGGGCCTAACGTGCATTAACCGGACAGCAGCAGAAGCAGCAGCGATCTAGCCCACGGTACACAGCCCTGCTCCTGGCTCCCCTATTCCTGGCGTCGCTATCGAGGGCGCAGGCGGTGCAACTGCACCGGGGCCCACGCGCCAGAGGGCTCCAGGGGCTGAGCAACAAAGAGGGTCAAATCAGAAGCGACCTGGCCACAAATGATAGCTCAACGGATTGAGTGGTTTATCGCGTGTGAACTTTTACAGCAGTCAAATACTCTAAAGGTGGTGTGTCTAAATGTGAGGGAGGCAACCGCAGGACCCGGAAAAAAAACCCACTCGACCGCGGGGAGAGAGAGGGATATGCAAACTCCAATCATACGAGCGTCAGGGTCGGGATCGAACCAACTACCTCATGAATACCAGGCGAGGTAGTTAACATCTTCACCACCGCGGAATCAGCGTGTGGATTGAGGGCTCGATTTTATTCCTTGCACTGGGCCGCGTGCCAACCACTCTAATGCCGCTGCTCCATATACACACACATAGTAACATTTACATATATTTGCATAATTTATAAATAAATACGTCTATAATATGATGTGTTACACAGCACACCGTTTTTCAATTTAAAATCGCATATTTGTATATATATAGAGAAGAGATATACGTCTTGCATGTTAAACGAACGTCTTTACAATGGTAACTGTAAACGGACTCCAATAGACAAAAAAACACGACCAACACACGACCGACCGCCTTGCACATTAAATTCAAGTGAAAATGTAACACCTTCGCCTGTGAATCCCGCCTCCACCCCCCCCCGTGGGCTAAGCAGCCGCGAATGAGCCGCGAATGAGCCACGTCCATTGGCTTCGACAATAAACAACAACAACAACGACACACACGCACACACGCACACACGTGCACACACACGCGCACACACGCACGCGCACGCACGTGCACACACACGCGCACGCACGTGCGCACACACGCACCGAGACACGCGCGCGTGGCTAAGAAGCGCCGAGTGTCTGGGCCCCCTCCCGATGCGGTTTCGCAACTCCCCCACCCAAGATCGATGCCCGATTCCCCCAGAGGAAGCCGCCGACGACTCGAAATCTCTCATCGCTCGTCGCTCGGAGCCTGCCGAACGGCATCGCGCAGCCACGAAAGCTTCCCCAGAACGGGAGATGCGCTTCGCCCGACCGCCTTTAACGTTGCAAGATTTTAGCGTTTCTAGAAAATTCGTTTTAATTCTTGTTCGTGTGTTGTTATTGTTCGGGACGACGCTTTGATTTCATGTCGCGCTCGAGCGGGCATAGAGACAAAGACCCCGCCCCCCCCCCCACACCGTATAGCCTCAACAGACTGTTGGGGCAAGTGCTGTTAGCGAGCACCTATGAAGACCGGCAACGGCACACGAGGGGGTGGGTGGCCAGCACCACGCCCGACCGCCTTTGTCTCCCAAGTGGCGATGTTCACACATCGCACCTGGTACTCATGTGAGGCTGAGTCGACACAGTGGAGGCCCAGGAACGGCTCAAATGCCGGGTCCGTAGCGCAGCGCGCTAACCGCTGCACCACCGCTACACTCGCTCGACTCGCGCTCTGAGAGGGACCTCTAAGCGGGGTTAGGGCACCACTATAGGGCGCCACTATAGGGCACCACTATAGGGCACCACGTATAGGGTACCACGTATAGGGTTCCACGCACACACGCATGGCCTGGGATTAATTCCAGCCAAGCCTAATTGGCTTGGCGACCCGGGAAAATGTCTGCACCCGGCACACCACGTCCAGTACACCTACCACTAGAACCCTGGCTACCGCTACTGGTCACATGCCCGCTGCAGCTAAACCGGCGAGCCAGAAAACGTCGTGGGACCACAGCCAACGGGCGCCCTGCCACGGAATCGGCCCTCACGTGCAGCAAGACACAACACGCATTAAACACAACACATTAAACACAACCTCGTGGTCTGCACCTGGACAAAACTGGACATTAGAACGCCAGAATTTTTTGACTCGACATCGACCTGTGCTCGTGAGGCCTACAGAACATTTGAGTAATTGCTTGCACAACATGAATAATGTCATAACAATGTTTTTCGCAGGAAATAATCACTGGGTCCCAGGAAACCAGAAAGGTTTCTGCGATGTTTGGGGCAAGGAATGTCGTAATTTTTTGGTTTTTACAATAAATGCTATTAAGGAATGTTTCTCGCACGTGGGAAGAAATCCGGAGGAAGGACACGTGGCGATCACAAGCCGCCCGCCAATTCCTGTGGTCGACACCCGGAACGGGTTCGCTCAACTCCGCCGCCAGGTAGCCACGCCGGCCGCACGGGATGGTTTCGGAGCTTCGCGCGTCTGCGTGATCCGTCAACCCTTGTCGCGACCCCGGCACCTGGGCGGGATTCTCCTCGTAGCTAAAGTTGCTACTACACGTGTAGTAGCTACTACATGTGGTAGCTACTACATGTGCAGCTAAACCGGCGTAGTAGCTACTACACACGTGTAGTGGCTACACGTGTCGCAGCTACACGTGTGTAGCAGCTACACGTGTAGTAGCTACTACACACGTGTAGCAGCTACTACACACGTGTAGCAGCTACACGTGTAGCGGCTACACGTGTGTAGCAGCTACGGGCCCCGCACTTTCAAGGGACCCGCGCTAAATGTTTTCAAGCTATCAATTCCGGTTCAGTGATTCTGCACTTGCTCTATTACTATAGTAATATAGCGCCTTCAACTTTTATGAACGACTGGGGTGTTTAAGATTAGCGATTTGTCGTATTATATGGCTGTATAGCAAATGAAAAAATACAAGTACTTTACTTTGCAAGTTAAACATTTGTGTTTTCATATGTACGTGTTTTTTTATGTAGGGCCCCTTCATAACAACATATGCTACAAGCCCCGCACTAGCTACATCCGGCACTGCCCCCCCCCCCAGTTGACAAATTCCCAAATGTCGTGCGAAGTGAACGTCTGCCCTGCTCTCAAGCGCGTGGGTGTTCAGCCCTGACGTGCAGAGACGCGACCACCTCCTCCCAGCGGGGGATGCGGTGCGGACAGACAGCGCGGGGCACGGCACGGATACCCCAACGGGCGCGGTTCTGGCTACGAATTGGAAGGAAACAAATCCACCGCCGCCACGGGGACATCTATCATGGCGAAATACCGAGACGACCCGCTTCGCGTGCGATCGGCATTGTTGAGATGCCGAAGGCGGGAAGCCGAGAGGGTTTTTCTTTTCAGTCTTTAGTCCACGAGGGCCGCTCTCCTGCCAAATGCCGTGCAAAAGTTGGGGGGGGGCGGGGGGGGCGCCGTTTAGCCATGACGTCACTCTTCTTCTGTGTGCGAACACACGGAGGGGGGGGGGGATTGGATGCCAAATCGTCGTGGATGCAAGTCGTGGACGCGGAACGATTCGTGACGATTATTGCTTAATCGCCACCACCTTCAGTCACAATGACTGTTAACAGAGGCGTCGTCGTTCTAGCCGCTAGAGCTACCACCACCATCATCATCATCGCCTCCGCCGCCGCCATCATCACAGGCATCGTCACAGAGGCCACAATGCAAGCCGGTTCAGTCACCTGATTGACGTCCAGATATTTACACGAGGGCAGCCCTCAGTAGTCGTCAGAGTAATACTAATAATAAATCAAATGTATAATGCGCAGTCCATCCTATGATCCCAATGTGCATTGCATGGGAAGCAGGAAACACAAACAGGACCAGGGCCAACCGATCAACTTAGAGATGGAAGACCACTTTAAAGAGATGGGTTTTTAAAGCAGGCTGAAATATATCTGCCGACTCCGATTGCCTGATTTAAAGTGGCAAGGCGTTCCATAGCTTGGTGGTAATGAATCTCCGCTGGTAAATTGGCGGCTTGCGAACAAAACAAAGTCACAGATCACGTGGGGTTCCAAACAGGTACATGTGCTTCAACACGAAAAAGAGCAGATTGGGATTTTACGCCTAAACACAAAAAAACAACCCACACACACACGCGTTTATAGACACTTTGAATAAACCAAAGGACCACTGGCCCAACACGATGATGGGTTTATAAATCGCATTCAACGTTACATAATTTAAATAAATTAACGTTTTAATAAGGCTCTGTAAAACGTACTTCAGACGTTGCTCGGGGCTGTATGCGCCATCGCACGCACAGCAGGTGCGTGCCTACCTACCTACGGGTACGACGCTACCTATGGCTCAACCTATCTACATCCGAGGGTATAAATGAGAGTGATTATCCGTCCAGGTGACTCAACGGCAGACCCAGCAGCGCGGCTTGCAATCGGAAGGTTGCTAGTTCAAATCCTGTTTGGGGAGGGGTTGACTAAACCCATCATCCCTCTGGGGTGGATAAAAATTAGTACCACTGTCGGGAAGTCACCAGTGCTTGCCCCATGGATAGACTTGTACCGCAGCTCCCCACCACTCCCCCCCCCCATGATTAAAATTTGTGGAATTTCCACCACTGCCGCTGCAAGCCTGTAAACAGGAGATGAGCACGCAGCCTCAATGCTCACGTGAGCGGGAAATCGCTTTGAAAGCAACGCCACGAGGAAGAGGCCAACGCATCGTCGAAGCGCGATACAATTAAACGCCGACATCGCTAGAGGCGAGGAGATTTTACGAGCGACGCAGGGATGGAAGCGTCTCGCCAATGGCGCGCGCCAAGGCAACTGAAAAAGGGTTTTCACACTCACAAATCACCGCGAAACAACACAACACAGCGGACCGTGGTGGCAGGCGGTTCCGCACGCGGGATACCATTTGTTTTTCATTAAGTGCAGTCGCAGACATCGAGCATAGATCTTTTTTTTTCTTTCATTTGTTTTTGGTTAAAGAACTGATGGCCCATGCTGCCAACGTAAAGCACCAGGCTGAGAACAAACTTGGCAGCAAAGAGTGACGGGATGACCGGGTCTAGCAGCAATCGGTGGTAGGCTATAGCAGAGGGTGATAGGGTGGGACGATGGGTAGTGGCGTGGGGCAGTGGGTGGTAGTACAGGTGGTATTGGGTGACTGAGTGGGGCAGTGGGTGGCAAAGTCGGGCAGTTGGTGGCAGAGGAGGAGGCGTGGACAGTTCGATGGCTGCAAGTGGCATAGCAGCGCCCTGAAGCCACCGGGCTAACAAAGCCACGTGTGCGTCCATGCATCCTTCACACATCGGGCTTTGCGGGAGTGCAGTCGGTGAAGGCTGGAACATCGCGGGGGTTAGAAACAACGTCCTTAATGAGCAGAGTGCCTCGATGGCAGCACACACCGCCCTGGGAGATCTGTGCACTGGCACCCAGGCACGGCAAACTCGACTTCAAATGAGTTGTGGATCAGCTGCGAGAATAAACCACGCTGAGCCCAGGAGGTCCGTCAGTTGTGACGCTAACACTCGCCGAGCATCGCAGAATCTCTCGCCAAGAAATCCTGCGGGGACTTGGCCCGCTAAGAGCCGCCCGACCTCCAAGTCGGCCGATAATTATCGTCCATTGGCCGCAATCCACGAGCCACAGCCACGGGTGCCATGTCAGTGAGACACCACTCAAATGTATAATCTCACCACCGCCATCACCACCGCCAGCGTGGTGAGCTCCACCTGAGACCCGCATCTGTGGCGTGTGCGGGGCAGCAGCAGCAGCAGCGTGACACGAGCCATTCTAGCTCACCGCACTCGAACTTTAACACTTCCTTATTGCGCTCTCAGAAGTCCTCAGCAACGCAAGGCCTCAGAGTTTCCACCCGGACGAAACAACCACGACGGTGGCAGCGACGTTGACGATGGCGGCGACGTCGGTGAGCGACGGTGGCAGCAGCCCCACCGCCGCAACGCCCACAACACCCCCTACCCCACCACCGCACCGCCGCGCGCCGAGCGACAGACCCCCGAGCGCCGGCGCATCTAGAAGCCGGGGATGTGGCAGTAGGCCTCGAGGCCCGAGAAGACGATGTAGATGAGCCAGAGGAGCACGAAGAGCGCGCACGTGAGCAGCTTCTGGCGGCGCGGGCCGCCCAGCTCCCCGCCGATGGACGGGCGGCGGCGCAGCATGAGCACGGCGACCGAGACGAAGGCGAAGATGGTGAAGAGGGTGACGGAGAAGGCCAGCGTGCCAGCCTGCACGCGGAACGGCTCGTCCTTTGTCCACCTGCGCGGCCGCGTGGAGAGAGAGAGAGAGAGACGCGGCACGGCAACGCCGCATTTACGTCGCTCACAGGCGGAGGTCGTTCCCACTTGCTGGGTTCCGATTCGCAATTTAGGGTCCTACCCCCCCCCCCTCCATCTACCCCCTGTGGCCATGAAGCGGCGGGCAATAAGCGAAAAACTATATTACTCTTGATGAAGTTGACTGCAATCAAGATATAAGTTTGTTTATTTTAAGTCAAAATTAGGCAACCGTGCTAATCCGCATCTCTGATTAGCACGGTTGGCTATGTACGGCGCGAAAGAAGTAAAAAATAGGTACGTACAAAATATTCGTGTTATTTTTTGCCGCGTGGTTTGAGAACACGGGTGATATCTTACGCAAAGCGATAGGTCTCGGGGCGTGCAGTGTCCTCGATGACCCCTGCGTGGCCCGTAGTGTCATCTTTAGTTCCAGGGTAAGCCCAGCTCTACGTGTACACCACAGATAGATAAGAGGCCTTCGTTGGTGTGCCGATGCACAACGAAAATGAGAAGCATCGATCTGAAACAAAGGTACAGATTCGGACGTCTTGTGTAGCCAGCGTAGCACGGTTCGGTTCCGGCTCAGCTCGGCAAATAGCCAGTGGAAAAACCACATGCACTGTGAGTGCAGTCCTTGACCTGGTGTGGCATGGATGAGCCAGTGGAAAAGGAGTAATGTATATTTAACAAATCTATGTTTCTATTTTACGAGGTAAGGCCCACTGAGCTTTACAGCTCTTTTTCAGAAAGCGACTTTGCTAAAAAATGATAGTTCAACGAAGTGGCTTATCACGTGGAAATGTATAGCAGCCAAATACTCTAAACGCACATTGAATGTGGAAGGAAAAACCGGAGGACCCGGACAAAAATCCACGTGACCATGGAGAGAGAGGACATGCAAACTCCAAATATACAGCCGGCGTCAGGGTCAGGATCGAACCCATGCACTCCTGTATACCAGGCGAGGGAGATAACATCTAGATTTGAAGCTTTCGTGACTGCAAGGATTCATACTTTTAGGTTTTTTCGGTAAAGTCACGTAGGTAAAAAAAATAAAAATATTTATTTTCATTTATTATTTTTTTCTTTTACTTTTTTTTACCTACGTGACTTTACCGAAAAATCCTAAAAGTATGAGATAACATCTCACCACCGTGGCGCCTTATAAAGGCACGGTTTGGTTCTGGCTCAGCTCGGCAAATAGCCAGTGGAAAAAATCAAATGCACTGTGAGGGCCTTGACCTGGCGTGGCATAGATGAGCCAGTGGAAAAGGAGCGAAGGCCGGAACTCCCCGTCCCTAGCGGCCCAGCCCGTGTGTGCGAGAGTTCCGCCCGCTCACCAGTAGATAGCGGCGATGGACCACGCGATGCCGATGCCCAGGAACACGTTCACCGCGTTGCTGCCGGTCACGTTGCCAATGGAAGCGTCCGCGTACTGGTCCTGCACGGCCGCCACCTTGCTGGCGAACGTGTCTGTCGGCGGGAGCGAGAGCCGGCGATGTCGGACGGGAGACAGCGGCGGAACATGGGTGGGAGGAATGCACGCACGCAACAAGCACGCACACACGCGGACGTCTGTCACAAGAAGCACGACACGTGGGACAGGCCTCGATTGTGGCGCACTCGATGCCAACCAAGCCTCACCGTACCGAATAAGGTGACCTCCCTCTATCACAGTCGTGTGTAACGACTCTAAAGGAAGCCACTGGAGCTATGCACTTTGAAATCATCTAAATTGAAAACCCAGTTTCTTTAGAACTGCTTTTTTGTTCAGTTGTCCTTCCACCCACACCTCCGATTAGTACGGTTGGCAACATACGGTGTGAAACAAGTTCAACATACATACAAAGGGTATTATTACTCTCGATCTGATCAACGTACTTGCATACTCACGTTTTAAAGACCGGGGCACGCGGCCTAGGTTCGTAATTAGATAACAGCCGTCTGTTACTTTGTGCTACTGATTTACAGAGTCATTTCATAGCATTGTGGGGATGCTGATGGGGGGGGTAACGGTCAGCACACCGAACTTGCAATCCAGAGGTCACCGATTCGATTTGATCTCGCAGCGCGGCAGTTTAAACAATGGGGCAACTTTATTAAATCCCCCCTCGCCGCGTAAGTGGGTATACAACCGCGGTCGGTCGATCGGCGGGTCTCGGAGCGGTGGGGTGGGGTGTGGGTACTTGCACGTCTTCTACGATGTCTGGCGAGCATGGAGGAGAAGAGCAAACACCGTCTCTAGCGGGGCCGTCGAGAGCTCCGTCGAGCCAGGCATCTGCACCTTAACCATCCACCGCTTCGTGGGATCGCGGAGCACAGCGAGGAGGAATCCGGAACCGTGGCTTACATCCAATATTTGACCCGTGACCTCTCACTCGCCCCCCCCCCCCGCCCCCCCAGAGACGGATTAAGCGGGCGGACGCAAAGACGAATTTGTTGAATGTAATTATTTGGAAGCGTGCCGTGATCTCTCCTGACCGTGGCGACAATTACCCGTGCAGTGGCGCGATGCCTCCCCGCGCGGGTGGCACGGGGAGGCAATTACCACTCGGAGGAGGCCCTCGGCCTGCCTTGTCCTGCCGGGGCCCATGCCGGCACTCGAGCGGCAGTGGCGCTGCAGTGGGCGTGCGCTGAATATTAAAGAGCCGGGCCTGATTAATCGAACAAAAGAAACCGGCTGTGTATATTTCACTCTCGTTGAGACGTAGCAGCTGCGGACTCATTTCGTTTGCGCGTTGCGCGTTCAGACTGTTTTGATGCTTCGCTCAATCACCCGTTGACGATTCGTCTCGCGTCGCTCCCTGGCTCTCGCAGCCGTCGCCGCCGGCCGTGAAGAAGAAGAGCAAACGGCGTCTCTAGCGGGGCCCTTGAGAGCTCCGTCTCGCGAGGCGAAGCTCACGACGGCTGTCTGGCAGGTTAGCTGGCAGGTTGGATGGCAGGTTGGATGGCAGGTTGGCTGGCAGGTTGGATGGCAGGTTGGATGGCAGGTTGGATGGCAGGTTGGATGGCAGGTTGGCTGGCAGGTTGGATGGCAGGTTGGATGGCAGGTTGGATGGCAGGTTGGATGGCAGGTTGGATGGCAGGTTGGATGGCAGGTTGGATGGCAGGTTGGATGGCAGGTTGGCTGGCAGGTTGGATGGCAGGTTGGATGGCAGGTTGGATGGCAGGTTGGATGGCAGGTTGGATGGCAGGTTGGCTGGCAGGTTGGATGGCAGGTTGGATGGCAGGTTGGATGGCAGGTTGGATGGCAGGTTGGATGGCAGGTTGGATGGCTCGCCCATCTCCCCTGTGTCACACACTCACCTGTCACACACTCACCTATCTGACGGACGCATCTGTGTTACCTGGACTTACCCATCTCACCTGCACCTCATCCCCCTCACCTGCACCTCACCCGCCATCCCTGTAACACCTCCAGTTCACCTGCACCTCAACCGCACTGACTTACGAGTTGAATGCAAACAAGGTGCAAGCGATGGTGCAAGTCATCCGCGCCTCACCCGCGCCTCACCGCCCGCTCTCACCGGGCACGGAGGTGCCGAGCGCCACGAACACGACGGCGTTCACCGAGTCCTTGAGCCCCACGGTGCAGCCGAAGTGCGAGGCGAGGTCGCCGATGACGGCGGTGAGGATGCCGATGACGGAGATGGAGACGACGAAGCAGGCCCAGCCGTTCCAGTACTCGGTGGGCGGCACGCACGCGAACAGCACCTTCCAGAAGACCGTGAGGAAGTGCATGATGTAGTCGCAGCACGACGGCATGCGCTCCTCGCCGCCGCCGCCGCCATCTTCGTCATCGTCGTCACCTGTGGCAAGGCCGGGGGAGGGCGGACGGGGGGTGGGGGGGTGCAGAGGTGCAGGGTGAAAGGTCCGTGGGGTTGGGGCTCAGGTCGCGATGTTAGGAGACGTGGAGGGATCACGGGGTCGGCTAGAGGTGGGTGTGGGGTGTTGTGGTGGTTAGAGGCACTGAGGCGAGAGTGCCGTGGAGTGAGAGGGCATGGGGTCAGGGGTTATGGGTTATGGGATGGAGAAAGCACGAGGTGGTGGGGTTAGGGGATGTGAGGTGAAGGCCGTGGGTGAGGGGTCATGCAGTAAAAGGGCAGAGGGTGAGGGAACGTGGGATGAGGGTGGACGAGCTCAGAGGCAGAGGCGGTGCGAGTTTCCGTGGCGCTGGAGGAGGACCAGAGGGCTCAGGGCGTGCGGGTGATTGTAGAGTCGTGAAAAAGGCATGCGGCGAAGCAGCCACGATAATCACAGGCTCCCCCTCCCCCCCCCCCCCCCCCCATTGGGCGGTCGGCTCCGAAAATCTAATATTTTCTCTCTTCCCCAGGCGGCAAACAGTTTTCAATGACAGATCTTTGGCCCCTGGGTGAGCGCGGTGAGTTTTGTGCCATTTAATTTCCGCGGCGTCCACAAAGCGTGACCCCAATATTTCCCCCCCCCCTCCCGCCGTCCCAAAACTGCGCTGCCACTTAGAGATTAATGCAGGCCCCCTTGTCGCCATGGCTACGGACCCTCACGTCGCAACCGCTCGCGGTGACGGCGGCGCTCGCGAACTCCTCCGCCGCCGCTGCTCACGCCGTTCCGTTAATTTCATTCCGCGAATCGAGTGATCGACCCCGAGTCTGTGCGGACAGGGCCCCGGGCGGGCCGTGCAGGCCGAGCGTCCGCGGCTCGTTACGGACGGGCCAATTAGAGCGCGTCGAGCGGCTCCCCCGCTCTCGTTAGCCGCGCCGTCGCGTCACGAGTCGCGCGTTTGCGTCGCGTAGCATCGTCGCGCGCGCGTGTCCGTGGCATGTCCGTGTCGTGCCCTTCGCGTCGATCAAGGGCACGCGCCATGTCCCAGTGCAACGTTCGCGTCGTGAGCGTCGCGCGATCATCCGCCGCTTCTTCATCGTTACGCAGCGCGATTTCAACTTTGTAATCGTTCATTCGTTGTAGGGTTGTTTTTTTTTGCAACGACAAATGTAGCTGCGGTTCAGTTCGCAGCGAAGCGTAACGTGAGTTACAGGCCGTTCTCGTTCTCAGTGACAGAATGTTTCGTCATTTTAAACTCATAAGGACGTCGTCGTCAAGACTGTGTTTACAACACCGCTGCGTAGCCGCACGCGACTCCGTGCCGCGACCGACACCGTCCGACGACGTCCTCGTTCTGTCCTAATTCCCTTCGATAGTTCAACTTCCTTTACACTCTTCTAAGTGGTCGTTCTCATTCACGTTGCCGTTAAAGGAATTCGCGTAGCGCCCAGTTGCCGTGCTCGCTCGCGAAAACGATGCCTGTGTCACGTTCCCGGGGCGAATCGCGTCCTCGTTGTGCGCGTGTTGTTCAACGCGTGTTGTTCAACGCGTGTTGATCACCGCGTGTTGTTCACCGCGTGTTGTTCACCGCGTGTTGTTCACCGCGTGTTGTTCACCGCGTGTTGTTCACCGCGTGTTGTTCACCGCGTGTTTATCACCGCGTGTTGATCACCGCGTGTTGTTCATTGTGTTTGCCGAGCCGTGCTGTGCCGGTCCCTCACCGGAGCCCACGGTGACGGCCTCCACGAACTGCTCTCGCCACGAGTGTGTCCCCACCACCAGCGCCAGGTTCGTCTTCTTGATGAGCCGGTCCACCGTGCTCTGAGCATGAGGAGAGAGGGGGGGTAGGGGGGTAGCATACGGGGGGGGGGGGGGGCAGCAGGAGCAGGCGGGCTTCAGCCTAACCAGGGGGTGCCAGGCCTCAGTGGTGGCAGCCTGCTTCACCATCCTGTGTGTCTGTTCAACATGAACTGTAGGTCTTTGTCTCTGTCTCTGTTCTGTGTCTCTGTCCCACATCTACGTTCATGTCCCCGTCCAATGCGTGTCCATGTGTTTGTCCTTTTCCCGTCCCATTTCACTGCTCCGTGTCTCTGTCCCATCTCTGTGTCCATGCATTTGTCCCATCTCCCTCTCACAAATCTGTCCCACGTCTACTTTACAGTATCTCTATGTCCCTTGTCCCGTGTCACGGTGTTGCACCCTGGCAAACCTCTCGCCAGGCTGCCGGCTGGTGGAACCTTCACACGGTGCCGGTGTGTGCCGGTGTGTGCACCGACTCAGCGCGCCGCCCCCCGTGCTGCCCCCCGTGCTGCCCTCGTGCTGCCCAGCAAACGGTGTCAGGGATCTTACCGCGGGAATGTAGCAGCGAGTCGGAACCACGCTTCCGTTTTCAACATAAGCATGCACCCTATCGCTCTGCCGATACAACAAAACGACTTACAATCCACGACACTTCCACGCGTTCCATGGTTCACTTTTACATTTTCATTACATCATTTGTTTGCTTAATCGCCAATCTACTGTCGCTTTACAAATGAAAGTAAGTGATTGACATCACAGAACCCTCCACTCCAGCGGCCAAAACCTCACCTTGATTTCACGGCCATAGAAGCTCCGGCTGTCCGCACTGGGTTATGACGACACAGGGCAACGGAGGCTGGAGGGGTTGGGGCCTGGATGCTTGGGCCATCAGTAGCTACTAGGCCACGGAATCCCCTGCACCGCTGATGATTGCTGGCCAGGCTATGGTTTACACATTTCTGGGAGGCTCAACCAGGGTACATAGTGAGCTGGCAGCCTCCCCCCACAACCCACTCGATCACCAGCCTCACCCATGCCGTGAGCGGCCTCCTCGCCCGGTCTCACGTGGTCCTCACTACTCGCAGGCCCTGCTGACTGTGCAGGGAGTTCCGCCCTTTCTCACGTCATGAGTCGAGGATGAGGCCAGAAACATTTAAACTGGCCACAAAATCCAGATTTTTACAAAACATTCGAAGGCCGGCGGGGGGTGGGGAGCGGAGAGCAGGGGGGAGGGGAGAACCAGGCCAGATTTTCTGAACCTGGGACTGTGGCGGCCTAACCGGCACGTTTGGCAGCTTGAGACCAGGCAGCTGCCCAGCGTCCTGCGTGGTCAGCCAGGTGGATGAGCAGGCAAGGGGGGTGATTGGGTCGGTGGGCGAGTGGGCAGGCGGGTGGCCTGATGCATGAGTGAGTGGGCAGGTGGGTGACCGGGTTGACTGATGAGCGGGCAGGCGGGCAGGTGTGCGGGCAGGTGTGAGGGCAGGTGTGCAGGCAGGTGTGCGGGCAGGTGTGCAGGCAGGTGTGCGGGCAGGTGTGCGGGCAGGTGTGCGGGCAGGTGTGCGTACGGGTGAGCGGTCGGGAGGGTGAGCAGGCACACGGGCAAGTGAGTGGGCCTACAGGTGACTTGGTGGGCAGGCAGGCGGGCTGGCAGGTTTCGATTTAAAGCTTTCGTGACTGCAGGGATTCATCTTCTTGGTTCTTTCGGTAAAGTCACGTAGAAGGGAAGTAATAAAATAATAAAAATAAAACATAATAAAACAATTCTCACGACGTTTCGGCCACAACGCAAGCAGCCGTCCTCAGGCGAAACGTCGTGAGAATTGTTTTATTATGTTTTATTTTTATTATTTTATTACTTCCCTTCTACGTGACTTTACCGAAAGAACCAAGAAGGGCTGGCAGGTGTCCGACTGGGCAAAAGTGAGCGGGCAGATGGGTGACTGGATGCAGTGGCGAGTGAGCGGGTGGGTGGGCGGGCGGGCTAGCGAGTGAGTGGCTGGGCAGGAGTCTGCAGGGGCGGCCTCGTCACCTTGAACTCGTACGACTCCTCGATGATGATCTCCAGCCTGCGGTGCTCTCCCAGGCCGGGCTTTCCGAGGGCCGCCACCCTCCGGGCCTCCGACTCCTCAGTCGAGAGGCCATCTGCTGCGGGGCACGGCAACGCGCTCGTCAAACAACGAGGGGCGACGATGGATGGGGGATCGATAGAGGCGTGCGGTTACCGTTACGCTCGCAGCCAACCCGTACTGACCAGTCCGGTGAAATATGGTTGAGTAACCCCAACATCCAACACGGCGTGCGGATGCCTTCGATCAGCAGTTGATTGACAAAGGGCTGAAAATCTAGTTATGTTTTAAATAATTAAGGTTTACCCAAAGTCTACATCTCACAAGGAAGCAGAGGTCGCAAACAGGTTTTGATTCCTTACCCGTACCCGGCCGCACCAGGGCCGCAAATGGGTACCCGTACCCTACCCGATACCCGGCTACCCGTACCCGGCCGGATACAGGTAGGGTACGGGTATCGGGTACCCGATTGCGACCTCTGGGATGAAGCCATGTTGCAGGCGTGGGTGGGTTGATTCTAGGAACTTGAATTGTGAGAAGAGACAAGACGTTGGGAAATGAGTGACAAACGGGGACTCACCAGTGACTCACGGCCTACCTGTACCCGTACCCTCTGCGACCTCTGCAAGGAAGACGTGCTTTGGACTTTGGATGAAGTGAACGGGTTTGCTATCTTTGTGGGAAGTCTGGTACTGTTGGTGGTGTAATTTTATTGTTTTCTTTATACTGCCCAACTAAGGTTGAAAGTGTCCATGCAGTAGCCCTGTCTGTCTGTAATTGTTGAGGATTTCATGATAATTCTGCCAAGATGATCTAATCGGAATGAATTTTGATACAAGTTAGATTGCTGTTAAGGATTTGGCATGGACAAACATATCCCAAAACTTGGCCATAAAATCCCAGCGCTAAATGTAAATAGTTTGATAGCTCAGCCTATCATCTTTACCGTGGTAGATAAAATTTATACCACTTTGTGGGTAGCCAGCAGTGGTCATTCTACGGAGACAAATGTGGAATTTCCCATGAGTGTTAATATTATGGTACAGGTACAAGCGTGCATGGATCGGGCCCTATGTCACTCCACTGCTGGATGAGGGCATCCCCACACCGTGCGGGTGAGTGAGAGGATATAAACACAGGAAGTGGACAAGATTTTTCTGCATCGTGCAGCGCGTAGCCCCGCAGCTTACAACACCTGTTTCGCACGGGGCTAGCCCAACGCAAGCGCTATCCAGGCTGAAACCCCTGCTTAGCTTGCGCGGATATCTGATGAGATCGGGCGCAAGCATTCCGGCGAGTTCCGGGCGATGCGGTCACGGGAATTGGTTGTGGTGGCGTAGTCGCGAGAACGTCACGCGGGGATCACGGCGACCTGACGGAAACACCTGCGCAATGGGACGCGCGCGGGGAACGCGGAGAGGACGCGAGAACTCACCGTGCTCACACCACAGAAGAGCAGCTGCAGGGAAGAGCGAGGAGGAGGAGTGAGGAGGAGTGAGGAGGGGCGAGGAGACGGGAGAGTGAGGAGCGTCAGTCAAGGTTAGAGAGAGAACGACGGGAAATCAGCAGACGTCAATTAAACAAGGGAGACAACCTCAGTTGATCACACGCAGACACGCAGTCACACATGGGGACACTCACATCAACAATACACACAAGACAAAGATCCCCTCCCTAGAACCTTAACAGACTATTGTATGTATGTAATGTTGAACTTCCTTCGTGTCGTATTTAACCAACCGTGCTAACCGGAGGTGCGGGGGAAGAATCAGAAACTAAACTGTTGGCGCAAGTGCTGTTAGCGAGCAGCACCTATGAAGGCTGCCAGGGCACACGAGGGGATGGTGTGCTCAGCTCCACACCAAGCCATCTTTGGCTCAATATTTGCCTCGCACCAGGGACTAATTTGAGGCTGAGTCGTCCTAGGGGAGGCACAGGACCGGGTTAGATAATCGTCACTGGTGTCGGCCGTGAGCGGGAATCGAACTCGGGTTGCCGGGTTCGTAGCGCAGCGCGCTAACTGCTACACTACCGCACTATGGTTCCCCACACTCACCATCACGCACACACACACACTCACCATCACGCACACACACACACTCACCATCACGCACACACACACACTCACACACAAATACTCACACACCATCACGCACACACACTCACACACCATCACGCACAAATACTCACACACCATCACGCACAAATACTCACACACCATCACGCACAAATACTCACACACCATCACGCACACATACACTCACACACCATCACGCACACACACACTCACACACCATCACGCACACACACGCACACACACTCACACACCATCACGCACAAATACTCACACACCATCACGCACACACATACGCACACACCATCACATACGCACGCACACACCATCACGCACACACCATCACATACGCACGCACACACACACCATCACGCACACACACCATCACGCACACGCACACACACACCATCACACACACCCATCACACACACACACGCACACCATCACACACACACGCACACCATCACACACACACCATCACGCACACACACCACACACACCATCACGCACACACACCACACACACCATCACACACACACACCACACACACCATCACACACACACACCACACACACCATCACGCACACACACCACACACACCATCACGCACACACACCGCACACACCATCACACACACACACCACACACACAATCACACACACACACCATCACGCACACACCATCACGCACACACACACTCACACACCATCACGTACGCGTACGCGCTCGAGAGTGAGCCGCACAAACAGGAAAGGGACCGCAGGTGGGAGCGAGATAAATTACCGAAAGCACTTTGAACAAAACCTTAATTTGAAGCGTTTCTCCGCGGGGGGCAGCGATCTCAAAGACGGACTGACGGACCCGCACGTCCGCCATTCATATCGAACGCTTCGAGTCCATTGATCCGTTTGCTCTGTGCCCCGGCTGCTTTATTATTTCCAGAAAGAAGCCCAGAGATGGGGAACAATAAATCGGTTCTCTTTGGAGGCGGTGCGGCCGGTCCATCGCGATGCATCGATCACCGCTCCCCCGGCCCTCGGGGTGCCGCGACACCACCGCGTGGTCACCGGGCCACCCCCCCCCCCCCCCGCCCCCATCGAATGCGGTGGCCGCCAAGCGGTTGGTTTGTGACCGCGGATCGTGCAGATTGTGAATGTACCGGTGCGTGCGTCACAGTGCGTACGCACTGGTGTATGCGTGTACCAGTATGTGTGCGTACCGGTGTGTGTGTACCAGTATGTGTGCGTACCGGTGTGTTCGTCCCAGTGTGTACGCACTGGTGTGTGCGTGTACCAGTATGTGTGCGTACCGGTGTGTGTGTACCAGTGCGTACCGGTGCGTGCGTAGTGGTGTGTGTGTGTGTACCGGTGTGTGTTGTGTACCGATGCGTACCGGTGTGTGTGTACCAGTGCGTACCGGTGTGTGTGTACCAGTGCGTACCGGTGCGTGCGTAGTGGTGTGTGTACCAGTGTGTGTGTCTCGGTGCGTGTGCGTATCGGTGTGTGCATACCGGTGCGTGTGCGTACCGGTGTGTGTGTACTGGTGTGTGCGTAGTGGTGTGTGTGTGTGTGTCTTTGTCTTTATCAACATTTAAGAATAGGTTTTACCCTGTCTGGCAAAAAAACAGGTGGTGGTAGGATGTTAAAACACCGAACAGAAACCTTTTGCATTAACCACACGTGCTTGTGGTGAACATGCAAACAAAAAACATGCTCTGATAATACATGCATTGTCTTTGAAGCCTGATTGATTGGTCCACGCCAGAGACAGCTTTCGAAAGAGCCTCGTCTCAAACGGTGTTATCCCAGAGAACGTCAAAAAGCGAACGGCACAAAGACAATGCCACTATCAGGGCATTTATAGCCCTGGGTGAGCAGCTATAATATGGGACCTGTTTTATTGCCAGAAAGGGTACCGGTGTGTGTGCGTACCGGCGCGTGCGTGTCGGCGCGTGCGTGTGCCCCGGGTCACGGGCCCATGGCTCACCCTTCTTGTCGCTCACGTCCCCCATGCGCGGCTCCCCCAGCTCGAGGAAGAAGCTCTTGTTCTTCTCGTACTCCTCGTCGTCCACAATCCGGATCTGGATCGTCTTCCTGCCGGCACGGGGAGACGGGCGCCGCGTTCTTTGGGCGGCTCCGCAGTCACACGCAGCAGCAGCAGTAGTAGCAACAGTAGCAGCAGTAGCAACAGCAGCAGCAGCAGCAACAGCAGCAGCAGCAACAGCAGTAGCAGCAACAGCAGTAGCAGCAGCAGTAGCAGCAGCAGCAGCAACAGTAGCAGCAGCAGTAGCAGCAACAGTTGCAGCAGTAACAACAGCAGCAACAGCATCACCAGCAGCAGTAGCAGCAACAGCAGCAGTAGCAGCAGCAGCAGTAGCAGCATCACCAGCAACAGCAGTAGCAGCAGCATCACAAGCAGCATCACCAGCAGCAGCAGCAACAGCAGCAGCAGCTGGTGATGCTGCAGCAGCATGCAAACCAAGACGGTGCCCCATCCGCACGCCAACTCGAACGCAGTCACTCGCCCTGCTAGCAGGCGCCACGGTAGCGAGATGTTAACTACCTTGCCTCTGATACAGGAGGTCGTGGGTTCGATCCCGACTCTGATGCCTGTTGTATGTTTGGAGTTTGCGTGTCTCTCTCCCCGTGCTCGCGCGGATTTCTCCAGTCCTGCGGGTTTTCCCTCCACATTTAGAATCGACGTCACGCGTTTAGAGTATTTTGCTGCTACACATTTCCACGTGATAAGCCACTTGGTTGAGGTATCATTTGTGACCAGGTCGCTTCTGACAAAGAGCTACACAGCTCAGTGGGCCTTACCTGTTCAAATAAAATTTTTTAGTTTAAGCCTGATGCAACGCAACACGCGTGTCTCACAGCGAAATAGACCTGGGTTCAATTCGCAACTCGGGTGTCTATTCTATATGGCATTGGTACGCTCTCTCCCTGTTCTGCACGGGTTTCCTCTGGGTTCTCCGGTTTCCTGCCGTAGCTAAGCGCGGACAAAATGTGACCGGTATCGACTGAGCGCTGAAAATTTACATCGAACGTTCGTCAAACGTTCATTTTCACACAAAGGTCAGAGGTTAAAGGTGGCTCAGAGGTCAGAGTGCTGGACTGGAACAAACTGAGATCCTGGGTTTTCTAAGCCAGCGTTCAGCCGTTTGTCAAATGTTCATTTTCGCTCGCAGAATTGGGAGGGGGGGGGGTGGTGAGAGCTTTCTGCTGTACCCGACCACAGCCGCACGTGTGGAGGGCTGCCCCCCCCTCCCCCCCGTCTCGCGTGCGCGCGCTCCGTGCCCAAAGCGCTAATCGCTCATCGTGCAAAGTGCTTCTCCCTAACGAGCATTCCCGGGGTAAGATGCAGCATCTGTAGCCCCAATCAGTCAGCGCCTTTAACGAGCGCGAGGACTCAATCAGCGGAGCAGCCGCCTGCCCTCACCGCGCCGCCGCTCCAATTGGGTTAATTGCATCAACCGCGGGCGCCGACCCCTTAATGAGATGCGCGCGGGATGACCCGCGCAGTCGTGGACTCCTTGTTCTGTCGGTTGTCTGTCTGTGTCGTGAGCTCGAGGAAGCCGATCCCTACGACCAAGCCGTCATGAACGTGCCCCCCGATATCAGATCTCGGCAAGGCTAAGCAGGTATTTTCGGGGCCTGGTTAGCACTTGCATGGGGGTTCGACCGCTTGGGAATTGTTTTCAGTGTCACGTTGACGGGAGAGCGGTCGAATTCAAACGCAACGCCAAACGGAGCCGATCGGCTCTCATCCGGTAGCCACGCACCCGGGCCGCGAGTCCCGGGCGGTCCGACCTCCTCGCGCCCGTGAAACGAAGCGCCCAGAATTAAGCCACAATCTGCCCGATCTCAGAAGCTAGGCACAGTTGAGGATGGTTGGTGCTTGAATGGGACACCGCTGGTTGTCACCGGACCGCCGGGGTTGCCTTGTGGGATGCGGATCGCAGTGCAGAGAAATCCATCGCCGTACTGGAGCTGTGCGCTCTCGCAACTCTGTGCCCGGCCTTCATCAGCCCGCACTGACAGCGCGGTGAAGTATGGTCAAGCAACCCCCACGACCGACACGGCATCGGGAAGCGTTCATCAAGCAGTGGATTGACCAAAGGCTTTACAAACATATATACGTGGACGTTCTTATTCAGGAGTTGCACTCATACGAGGGTTAAGATAGGATCAGTTTAAGGGTTTGGGGTTAATCTTAGTTGCAGGGTTAACATTTAGAGATGGGTTTAGGGTTACTTTGATTGTTATTATCAGGCTAAACTCAATCCCATTGCCACCAAGCTTCTTAGCATCACCCCCCTAAATCAGGTGCAGTGTCGCAAGCAGAGAAGATGGAGCGGAGGTGGACGGGAGATGGAGATGGAGCGGAGGTGGACGGGAGATGGAGCGGAGGTGGACGGGAGATGCAGCGGAGGTAGATGGGAAACGGAGATCAAGTGGAGAGATGGGAGCTGGAGGGGAGATGTCACCCTGCCCTGTGCCCCACTCACTAAATTGGCCACAGATGTCCCCCCCCTCGCCGTGCCCCTGTGCCCCGCTTTGTGCCCCCCACCATGCCCTCTTCGTCCCCTCTGCCCCCATGCGCTCGCGACACCACGTGTGGTTACTCTCAGCGTCTAGGAGCGGACTCTTTCCGGCAACACAAACCCACGCCATCATTTATTCATCTGCGGTGGCGTTTTTTTCTTTTGCTCGGAGGTGCAAGCCACACTCGTTAACGGAGAAAAGCACGGAATCAAAGATCTCCGTGTCCAAGGAGGTGTGGACCCCATTTGTGTGACGGGGGCAGGAGGAGAAGGAGGGAGGGAGCAATGGGTTCCATCTCCAAGTGGGGGTCAGCAGCACAGCGATGTTGTCGTGGTGTCTGTTCGTGTCTCACTGAGCCACTGCTTCCTCCGTGTGTGTATCTACGTGAAGAGTTCAACTTCTTTCGCGCCGTACGTAGCCAACTACGCTCATCGGAGGCGCGAGGGAAGTACAACAAACTAAACACAAAAAGCAGTAAAAATACGAGTTTTCAATCTAGACGGTTTAAAAATGCAAAGCACAGGTGGCTTCATAATATCGGAAGAGCGTTCCAGACGGCCGCAGAAGCGCATCAGAAAGCGCGAGATGCTCACGTGGGTCCAGACCTCGTCACGGCACATGCTGTTGATGTCGCAACAACAACTAACCCTTGCTTCCTTCCCTCTCGCTAGATCTGTTCGCCGTTTCAAAGTTGACCCCCCCCCCCAAACTCTGAGATATAATTACATCAAGCAGCACCACCTGGCGCGAGGTCTTTCCACTGCCACAGATTTGTGAGGCTCCGTGCAGTCGTTCTTGCCATAAAGGATCAGCAGAATCAATGTGATTGTTTTTTTTTTATTTCACACCTCCTCCAGGGACCACTCTTGGAGTCTCATCAAGCACCGCCGCGTGGCGTGAGGTCCGTCTCCTCCTTGGCTGCCCCTGGGGGTCACGCCAACTCCCGTCTCGACTACGACCACCATCATCATCACCATCATCCCCTCTAGCCCCCCCCCCCCTCTCTTCCTAACGGTCACCATTACCATCATCACCATCATCACCATCTTCACCATCATCACCTCTAGCCCCCCCTCTTCTCTTCCTAACGGTCACCATCACCATCGTCACCATCATCACCATCATCACCATCATCCCCTCTAGGCCCACTCCCCCCCCTCTTCCTAACGGTCACCATCATCACCATCATCCCCTCTAGCCCCACTCCCCCCCCCTCTTCCTAACGGTCACCATCATCACCATCATCACCATCATCACCTCTAGCCCCCCCCTCTCTTCCTAACGGTCACCATCACCACCATCACCATCATCACCACCATCAACATCATCACCATCATCCCCTCTAGCCCCACTCCCCCCCCCTCTCTTCCTAACGGTCACCATCACTACCATCACCATCACCACCTCTAGCCCCCCCCCCTCTCTTGCTAACGGTCACCATCACCATCATCACCATCATCCCCTCTAGCCCCCCCCCCTTTTTTCTACCGGTCACAACACAGATCGCGGGGACAATTCGAGTCACTGCGGCGCCCGCTGAACGCGCGCCCCTGCGCGCCTGGGTGCTGCGTGTGTGTTTGTTTGTTTTGCCCGCGGCCGCTCACACCGCACTGCTCACCGCCCGCACTGCCGCCGTGGACGTTCCGCTCGAGGGGTCACCGACCCCCCCTCCCCGTGCCCCCCCCTCCCCACTTCCCCCGCCTACGTCGGAGATTGGTGAATTGTGCATGAGGCCCGGCGATATTAATTACAGCTTTCACTAATCATTCAGCAGCTCCCGGGATCGCGGCCGTGTACATTTCAGGGCATCTTTACAAATTCATTTGTTGCTGTAATTGGAGCGTGTCGCACCGCACTGGCCCAAGGGACGCGACGTTAGGGGGTAAGGCGGCAGGGGGGGGGGGGCAGGGTGGTGGTGGGGGGCGGCGACCAGCGATCTAAGCTGGCCACGCGCCTGGCTCTCTCCCCCACGATCGCTCCTCTGTCTACCCCCCCGCACCGCCCCCCTTCAACATCAATGGGGAAAATTCACCACCCGCTAGAACTGCCCGCATCCTCAAATCCTTCCCCCATTGCCCCCCACCCCTCCACTCCACGTTGTCCACAGGCACCGGGCGATGACCAGATTGGCCGAGCCGGGCGCCGCGGTGACGCACGCCTTGCGCTGTGCTGGCGAGGGGTTGGTGGTGCACGTCGAGAATGACGGGACTCCCGAACAAGCCTGCGGCTGGGAGATGGCAGTGCAGCAAGTGGGTTGAGTTCGGGAGTGTGAGTGTTTCATAGTTACACTCGCACGATGGCGCGCCGGGGTTTCTCCTAGGTGTCCGGTTCCCTCCCACGTGAAGGCAAACGCTCAATACAATCACTGGTTCTACAATACCGACACTGGTTCATTACGATCACTGGTTCAACATTACAATGTGGCAGGGACCCTCCTGAATAGGAGGCTGTATATTCAGCCACTCCGTTTGTTTATCCATCGACTCCCTGGTAAACAAATGGGTGTCAATTCTTTTTACGACGGAGAGCACACGACTTTATTAAAA